CTTCCATGGAACAGCTGGTAGTTTCAAACTGCTAACCCTGTGGTTAGCAGCCCTACTCGTAACCACTACACTACCAGAGCTCCTTACACCTTATAGTAATAAACTTAAATATGGCTCAATTATATTCATGGTATAGTTTGACGTCATATCTATTGTGGGTGCCAACAGTTTCAGCTCAACGGGACACTCTAATCTGCTGTACTGTAGGGACCTGGCATCCATAAATGCTGCTGTATTGCTAAACTGAGTTTTAATGTTATCCTAAACCAGAATCCTGGTGTGACGTGGTGGGTTAATGCGCTAGATTGCAAAGTTGGTTCGAATCGCAAGGTTGGTTGGTTCAACAGGGTTGCTATGGGTCAGAACCTACTCGACAGCACTTAACAACAACAACAAACCAAAGAGGTGGTGTTGTGGTTGTTGGGTGATGCCGAGACAATTTTTCACTCATTGTGAACCCTATGTTATAGAGCAGAACTGCTCTATAGGGTTTTCTTGGCTGTAATCTTAACTCCTGGTGTGGCACTGTAAGATCAGCACTGGACTGCAAGCCAAAAGGCTGGCAGTTCAAATCCACCAGCCGCTCCTTGGAAACCCTATACAGGGTCGCTATGAGTCGGAACCAACTCAACAGCACTCAACAACAACAAATCTTAGCAGGGGAGACCTGGTATGGTACTGTAAGACTGGACTGATAACTGCAAGCTTGGATACCCTGTGTTGTTGTTGTTAAATGTCCTCCAGTCAGTTCCAACTTAAAGCGAACCTTAAAAAACAACAACAGTCTTACCAGGTCTTTCTCCAGTGACACCACTGCTGGATTTGAACCCCCAAATTTTTGGTTAGCAGCTGGATGCTTAATCATTAAATGACCTTAACACGACTTTGTTGTATGCTGTTGAGTCCATTCTGACTCATAATGACCCTGTGTAGGGTTTCCTAGAGCAGCTCATGAGTTTGAACTGCCGACCTTGCAGTTAGCAGTACAGTAGCACCGCGGCCAGGGCTCTTTAGGTTTACATATTAGAAGACATCTCAAAAGCACAAGTGGCTTCTGATGACCTTCCCAGGCGATCATTTAGCCAGTCATTACCCTCTGTTTACTACAAATAACCTGACCTTTGGCTGCCTTAGTAAGTCTGCTTTAACACAAGGAGTCTGTCCCTCCCAAACCAAACACACATCCAACAACTGTTTAGATGAACCTTTCCTTCCATTGTGATGACTCAGTATCCAACTGAACTGCCCACCTGGACAAATGGGAGAGTAGGCGTACTTTGAGGAATATGAAATGTGACACAAGCCTAAAGATGTGAAAAATGGATACAGTGATGTTTTATATGAATAAATTTTATATAAACTACTTTAAAAGTGCAACAAAGTAAAAATGTCAATTGTGGTGTTTGGAAGTAAAATTTAAAAATAAAATTTTTAAAAAAAATAAAATTTAAAACTTTTCTTCTTTTTTTGTCACAAAACTTGAATATTAGATAATGAACATTAACCATTATCTCTGGTGAGTTTCTAAGAGATTTACCTAAATAATCATTATGGAATGCCCTGGAATGACTTTGTCCTCAACTCACTAAGGTCAGCCTCTATGAAATGCAGTTTTAATTAGTGAATTCTTACTAACAAATAAGAGTCCTGGTGTGGTGCTGTGGGTTAATGTGCCAGACTGCAAAGCCGTTTGAACTGCAAGGTTGGTGGTTCAAGCTCACCAGCTGCTCCTCAGAAACCCTATACAGGGTAGCTATGGGTTGGGACTGACTCGACGGCACTTAACAACTAACAAATAAATTTATTATCTAATGGCATCTTTTGATTTAATATATAGCATTACAGAGGGGGACACTGTATTTTGGTTTCAAGGAATTTGAGATTTTACTAGTTCCATCTCTCCTATTCTGATCCCCTCACTCAGCTTCAGTTGTTGTTATTATCAAGTGTTGTTGAGTCAATTCCGACCCATAGTGATCCTGTACAGGGTTTCCAAGGAGCGGCTGGTGAGTTTGAACCACCGATCTGTGATCCACACCGACTTTGCAGTCCAGCTCATTAACCCACAGTGCCACACTAGGCCTCTTCAGCTTCAGTATTGGACACCAAATGGTAACAAATGAACAACGGGTAAATATTTCAGCTATGATGTTAAAAGCGAGTAAGGAGTCATGGGACTGAAAGATAATCGTTCAATAAATCAAGCTGCCTTGGTTAATTATGAGAGATTGGATGAAGGGTTTCTGACATCACATCATCAGTGGCTCTGCTGATATTCCAGAATATAGCTTATTCTTGTTAACCGATGTTACAGTGGCCCCCTAAATTCATTGTAGCCCCATGCACAGTGATATAAAATGCTGTCTAGTACCGCATCATTAGTTGTGGATAAGCCTTCTGTGATCCGGAGAGTTCTCACTGGCTGATTTTCAAAGCAGATTGCCAGGGCTTTCTTTCTAGTCAGCTTTAGTCTGGAAATATCACTAAAACCTGTTCAGATTCATAGCAACATATAGGCCTCCACTGACAGACAAGTGGTGACTGCACTTGAGGTACATTGGCCAGTAATTAACCCCAGTTCTCCCACACAGATGCAATAATTCTGCTACAGAACCAACACTGTCCTCTAGATTAATTTTTGTTGTTGTTAAGTGCTGTCATGTTGGTTTTGACTCATAGTGACCCTGTATAGGATTTCCAAGGAGCAGCTGGTGGGTTTGAACTGCCAACCTTGTGGTTCGAAGACCAGTGCTAATCCTACAATGCCACACCAGATTAATATTTAAGAAACATTAAAAAAGGAATGCCTTTGGTTACTTGCCAGTTTCAAAGCATGTTGCTGCATGCAAAGCCATGTGCATGTGCAGCAGATAGAAGGGTTGACTCTAAGGGCTGAGTCCAATGTTGGGGTGCATGCCTTCTTGTTGCTATGGGAATCCAAACTCTGAAGTGGATTTCCACTGGCTCATGATAAAAGAATTGCTGGCTCATGATAAAAGAATAAATCCTTCATTATTACTTATATTTCTTCTAGCCATAAAAGAACATGAGAAAATATCAAAAACCTCTGGTAGTTCTGACTTCAACAAATTGAGGATCTAGTCCCTGGCTTTGGGAGGGACTGAAGCAGGTCAGGGTGGCCTCAGCCTTTTCCCAGTATCCATTGCTCTCTCCATGCCTTGTTCCTCCTGTGTTGTGTTTCCTTAACCTGGAAAGCCTTGTCCTCCTCACTCTACTTCCTCAGTTCCCAACCATACTTCTGGAGTCCTAGTGTGGTGCTGTAGGATAAGCACTGGGCCCCAAGGTTGGTTTGGACCAGAGGTCAATGGTTCAAATTCAACAGCCACTCCTCAGAAACTCTATACTGTGTTGCTATGAGTCAGAATGGACTTGAGGGCATGTAACAACAACATCCATACTTCTGACATGAGCACAAGTCCTACTTTCTTGTTAAATAAAGCCCTCTGTGAACCCTCCACAGGCCCTCACTCATTTTTCTCTCCTGGAAACTTTTATAAGCACTTGCATTCTGAGAGGCTCAATTTCCTCTCTTATCCCAACCGCCCATGTGTCACACATTTTAAGTCTTATCTTCCCAGTTACATTGTGAAAAACATGAAAGCAGGCATCATGATGTACTCATTCGAAAATGCAAAGTGTTGAGACACTGAAGTCCAGTTCTCGTCAGTAACCGTTGGCTGGCAATCCAACAGAAGATTCTACTGTAAACAGCTCCCTCAGAATTGGCTATAGGTCCTAAAGGGCAGGTCAAGGCTGAGCAGCACAGAGGATAATGGCACACGTGTCTAGCCCTCTATAGGATAATCTGACTCATTGAACTTCCATACAATGGGACTGGAAAAGGAAGAAGATAGAAGCCGAGAAAGATCTGTAGAAAAAGAAAACCCTCTTTTGCCACCTCCTCTTTAAAATTAAGACCAAGATATTTCCTGTTTTTAAGTCAGAATGGTCAGATCTTTCCCATCAGAGCACACCACAGAGTGACTCATAGCACACATTTTTGTCTTAGCCAGTGTCTACCTCTGAGGTAGAAAAATATTGGTGGCAGTAAAATTACAATGGAGCCCTCTACTCCGAAAGTGCCTACTGAGAAGAAATACTTCCACAGCATGGAAGGGAAGTCATGTTAGCACATGTCCAAACCTACCACACTAAAGCATGTCTACGAGAGACACACACCCACAAAGAATGTTGAAATACTACCCATTAGGGATACAAAGTACAGAAAAACAAAAGAGTCCCTTTCTAAGAAGGTGTCCATTCAAGAAATATCCACAATTATCACAGCTATGTTGTTGTTGTTGGTTTAAGTACCGTGGAGTCGGTTCCGACTCAGTGAAACCCTGCACAGAATTTCCGAGGTGGTAAATCTTTACGGGAGCAGAACGCCTCATCTTTCTCCCATGGAAACGTTGGTAGTTTCGAACTGCTGACCTTGAGGTTGGCAGCCCGACTCGTAACCACTACGCTACCAACTATATCACAACTTAATTCCAGAAACTGGGATGGATGGTGGTCTCATGAAGCCCTGGGCCTCCGATTCAACAAGGATTCATATAAACACCTGCTGTGTCTAAGTATGCATAAGTGTGTATGTAAGAGTGTACACATGCAGGTGTTTGAGAGAGTGAGAGAGACGAAATGCAGATGGCAAGAGCCTGTAATTGGTGTGCACTCATCACTATAGAACAAATCCTGATGACAGAAATAAAGAGAGGAGATCTATACATGGATGGCCGATTACCTGAGAAAGCAGGCGCCTTCGATGGACTTTCAACCTTATCTTCTGCCCACCTTGCAGCCATGGGGATAATATGAGGTGAGGTGGTTTAGCATCTACTCAAGAGAAATAACTTCTTTGGTGGACTCTTTATGGAGGTGAGTTCAAAAGAAAGCAGAATCAAGACAGAAAGCCTATCTCATTAATTCCAAACCCTGGAAATTGACCCAGGACTGGCTTAGCAAACCCAGTCTGTTACCTCCATCGCTGCAGGTCCTAGAGTCCGAGGCCAGGCTGTCTGTGGAGCCAGTGGTGAAGCTGACGTGGACGCCCCTGAAGGATGGACTGAGGCTCTCTGCTGAGCCCTGGCTCACTTTTTCCAAATCAGAACTGCTCTTATTCATTTTTAGAAGGTGCCTGAAAGATGTAGAAACAATAGGAATAACTCAGTTGGTTTCCATTAAAAACCCAGGCTGATGGGTCATGAACCTACTACGCTGTTGAAGCTTAGCTGGCAAGCTGACCTTGGAAATAGAAAAGGAGTTCTGCTGGCACATGGAGCACCTGAAAGGCAGGAAACTTCCTGAACATAGTAACAGAATCTAGTATGTTTAGATAAACACCAAAATTCATAATTTGGGAGGAACTACCTTCCGATTCCAGCCCCACCTGCCAAAATATTTGTCATCTGTTTGTGTGACATCCATACAGAGATAACAGAACGATATCATATATGCAAATGTAGAGACACTGCAGTATTTGAAAGGTACAGGACAAGTGCATTGTAAATTAGAACCCAAAACATAGAATTTCATTTTGCCTGGTACTTTCTTGCCATGAAACGATAGGGCTTCAAAAGTTCATGGAAAAATTCCATGACCTTTTCATTATGTTTTTCTAAGAACTTTGGAAGCCCCTCTTATAACTTTAAAGGGCCTAGCATGGTCTGGGGAATTAAGGTAATTTTTATTTAAATTTAAACTGGATTTCCAGTGCAAACCATGGTAACATAACCCTGATTCCAGAATTATGAAATCTGCCCTTGAGTTTTTAGGAAGTCATTTGTTCTATCTAAGACAATATTACCGACATATTAGAGGCAAAACAAAATAAATTCAAGAAAAAAGAGTGTACCATGGAGATACAGTTCCATTATTAGGTATAGTGTTTTGCTTATTGATTTCCCCTTTTCTCTTTCCAAGGATCAAAAACATGAATATTCACTCCTGACCTGACATTTTCACCATGAAGTTAGACAAATCACAATCAATCCAGCTGTTTCCCTGGAGGTACGTGGTAACCCAGATTTGTCTGAACTGGTATTTCCTGATGACATTCCAGTTCCCACTACAGCAGATCTATATCTCAATATCTGCCGTAGGAAATACACAATACAGTATTGATTTGGCATCGGAACTGCCTTATTAACTATACATGACCTTATAGTCAAGAATTTATTGATTGTTCTTTGTGTTCAGCATTGTCGGGCCCTGTACTGGTTTTCAGAGTCACTTGAATCCCTTTTTTGTGAACAGTTGTAGACAGAAAGATTTAGAAAGATTTGTTTGTTACCATGAAAAGAGCTCCCTAGAAATATGTCCCCTTCCTCACCCCCAGCCCATAGACACACATTAAAACATGTTTCAAAGCTGTCATGCAACAGAGTAAGTCAAAAAGTATTGCTACAACATCACAGAACCCTTCATTAAGCAAAAATATCAAAATGGTCTGAACCTATTCCCCTTTTTCTCAGAAACAAATATTTTGATTCATTGTTGATGTTGTTAGGTGCTGTTGAGTCAGTTCCAACTCATAGTAACCCTGTGCACAATAGAACAAAACACTGCCAGGTTCTGATCCAGCCTCACAATTGTGCCTAAACTTGAGCCTACTGCTGCTGCCACAGTGGCAACCCATCTCATTTGGGATCTTCCTTTTTTTTTTTGCTGACCCTCCATTTTACCAAGCATAATGTTCTTCTCCAGGGACTGGTCCTTTCTGATAATATGTCTGAAGTATGAGAGACGAAGCCTCCCCATTCTTGCTTCTAAGGAGCATTTTGGCTGTACTTCTTTTAACACAGATTTGTTTGTCCTTCTGGCAGTCCTTGGTACTTTCAATATTTTTCTCCAACACCCTAACACAAATGCATGAATTCTTCTGCAGTCTCCAAGAATAACATAGCTTGTGATTCTTTTTTTCCATTTCCCAGCATAACATTTTAGTTAACATTTATGGATTCAGAGCATTATATAAAAGTTTTCTAGTAAGATAACAACTGGAAAAAAACTTAAAATGCCCCCCAAAATCAAAATAAAGGAAAAAAATTAAAATGTGAAGCATCTGCTTCTCAATATACTCTCCCTTCATCTAGTTCTATATGCTTTTGAAGGTGGTTTGAACCAAAAGGTCAGTGTCCAAATTCACCAGCTGATCCTCAGAAACTCTTTATGGTGTTTCTGTGAGTTGGAATCAACTAGATGGCACTTAACAACAACAGGAAATCCTTCTCCGAAGAATTCTGAGCTCTTTGATTTTATACTATGTTAAAATGACAATTTGGGCATCCTCAGGGGAAGTCCAGTCATATTCCTTTTAAATTCTGAGTTTTGGAAACAAAAATAAATCTGAAGGGGCAAGATCAGAGCTGTTGAGTGGATGGAGTCAGGTTTGCCAACAAAATTGTAGTAAAACTGCCCATTCACCCAGAAAAAAATGAGCAGGTGCATTGTCGGGATGGAAAAAAATTCCGTGGTGCAACTTTCATGGCCTTTTTTTCACCAATGAAGTTTTCAATTTTCAAAAAACTTCTTCCTAGTAAGTCCCCATGATTGTTCTCTGTCCTTCAATAAAATATATGAAGATGAGCCCTTTGGAGTCCAAAAAACCCTTAAGCTTCTGAGCTGACCTCTCTAGCTTGAACGGAAGTGGTCCTGCAGATATCCTAGGAAGCCACCATTGTGATTGGACTTTGCTCTCTGTGCCATAGTGGTAAATCTAAGACTGGCCCCTGACTACATTTTTTTTTCATAAGATCATCTTCATTAACTTTGGTCTTGCTTAAAAAAAGACTGATGGGAAGATCACCTCTTTGAGATACTTGACCCTCACACAAGGCTTTTTTCTTTTTCTTTTTTAAGCAACCTAATGAGAATAGGTTTCTTTCTTTCACCATACTTATTCAACCTATATGCTTATCAAATAATCCAAGAGGCTAGGTTATATGAAGAAAAATGTTGCATCAGGATTGGAGGAAGTCTCTCATTAACAACCTGCGATATGCAGATGATACAACCTTACTTGCTGAAAGTGAAGAGGACTTAAAATATTTACTGATGAAGATCAAAGAGCACAGCTTTCGGTACGGATTACATCTCAGTGTAAAGAAGAAAAAAAAATCCTCACCCTTGGACCAACAAACAACATTCTTATCAACGGAGAAAAGATTAAAGTTGTCAAGGACTTCATTCTTCTTGGATCAACTATCAACATTCATGGAAGCAGCATTCAAGAAATCAAACGACATATTGCATTAGGTAAATCTGCTGCACAAGATCTTTTAAAGTGTTGAAGAGCAAAGATGTCAGCTTGAGGACTAAGGTGCACCTGACCCAAGTCATAGTATTTTCAATAACCTCCTATGCATGTGAAAGCGGGACAGTGAATAAGGAAGACCCTAGAAGAATTGATGCCTTTGAGTTATGGTGGTGAAGAAGAATATTGAAAGTGCCATGGGCTGCCAAAAGAACCAATAGATCCATTTTGGAAGAAGTGCAGCCAGAGTGCTTCTTGGAGGCCAAGATGGCCAAACTTCGTCTCTCATACTTCGGACATATTGTCAGGAGGAACCAGTTGCTGGAGAAGGATATCATGTTTGGTAAGGTGGAGGATCAGAGAAAAAGAGGAAGACCCCCAACGAGATGGATTGGCCAAGCGGCAGCATCGATAGACTCAAGCGTGGCAACAGTAGTGAGGTTGGCCCAGGATCGGGCAGTGTTGCGTTTTGCTGTGCATAGGGTCTCTATGGGTCAGTACCAACTTGATGGCACCTAATAACAACAATGAAAATCGGAATATACATGACACTGATGGAAAAGTTATGTCTAACAACACTCTTTATGTTTTTACTATCATTGTAGGAATCATGAAAATACCAAATCCTTAGAAACTTCTATGGTAAAATACAATCATAGAAAGTTTCATAAAATATATTTACACATATCAGATTCATGCTTAATGGCTCTCTTGGATGAAGCCAGGATCTGAAGTTGCGAATAATGGGAACTCCTCAGTCTAGAAGAGAAGCCAGTTCTATGGCACTCCAAGTACTCTGTCCCTCCAGACTGGTATCTGGACTCCATCGGTCTTTGGATCCAAAACACTGCCAAGGGAAAACTTCCAAAACCACAGCTGTGAGCTTGCAAAGCTTCTCATTTAACAAACTCATAAAAACACTCTATGAAATAGATCTAGATTAAATCTTAATCTTAAAAATATACAATGTGTGAGCATATTTATGTATGTATGTAAACACATGTTCATGAATGTATACACATATTTGTTGTTGTTAAGTGCCGTCAATTAGGCCCCAACTCATAGCGACCCTATATAGTTTTAACTGCTGACCTTGAGGTGCAAATTAACCTTCTGGTCCAGTGCTTATCCTATAGCACCACGCCAGGACTCCATATATTCATATAAACAAGCATTATTGTTTGAAGTAAGATCCAAGCACAAAAGTAGAAAAATTCCCAGGAGCTAGATGTCCAGACTCAACGCCAGGGAACGGTAAGGGAAGCTTGCATACTATGTATATGTTTGCAACAGGTTTTGGTAGATGCATGTTCTCTATCAGGTTAAGGATGTTCATTTCAATGCCAAGTATCCTAAGAGTTTTATGTTCTAAAATTATTTATGGCTACTGAATCTTATCAATTGTTTTTTTTTTCTACAGCTCTAGAAAATAATTAATATTTCCCTGCTTTATTCCATAAATGTAATGAGTTACATTAGTGATTTTTCTTTATTCTTATACATTTTGTATAAACTTGTTTTATTACACACTGCTGTAGTCAGTTTTAATTATATTTAGGATTCTTACATTGATGCTAGAAAGTGAAGTTAGCCTCTACTTTTTCTTTCTGGTACTGGCATTGTCCAGTTTGGGTATAAAGATTATTGGGTAAATAACAATAAAGATTATTAGGCAAGTAAAATATGAATTGGGTAATGCTTTTATCTTTTAATTATCTCATGTAATTTTTATAAGATTTGTTGTTGTTAGGGGCCAGAATGAGTTCCAACTTATAGTGACCTTTATACAACCGAACAATTCCTGGTCCCGCACCATCCTCACAATCATTGCTCTGTTTGAGGCCATTGTTGCTGCTACTATGTCAATCCATCTCATTTGGGTC